GGGGCCAGCTCTGGTTGAGAAGATTTACCTCCAGATCTGCTCAGGGGCCCAGAACTTCAACAGTGAGATATGCAACATTGGCCATTTGTACATGCCACAAAATTGTCCTTTAAAGTGGCTTAATACCCTTTTGCACTGCTTTAATGATGCAGCTGTCTACACATGTTGGCGGTGTAATGCATGTTAAATGACTTTGGGACACAGCAAAAGAAAACATGTCTGAGGTGTTTTAGTTTGCTACCTTACAGCTGCGGAGGGAAGCACCAGGCCCCATGCAGTTTAGGGGCTGTGCAGGCAGCCCAGCGGCAGCCCGTTCAGGCAGGCTCCACTGAAGTGGAAAAAAAAATAAAGCAGCAAGCCTGATCCCCCCCCGCCCTTCCCTGAGCCTGCCTGGGGACCCAGTGCTTCCCTCTGTGCCTGCGGTGCCGCCCAGGACTGCCTGGGCTGGGTGCCTATGGGCAGATGCCACCTAGAGGGCACCACTAGTGCCATGGATGACAGCACCAGCCCCTTCCCCTCCCCCACCCAGCTCAGGGACTGCTCAGTCCACCAGCAGCTCGCCCTCCCCTCCCCTTCCCAGCACTGGAGAGGCAGGTAAGGATTGGGCCCCACCCTTGTATACACACCACGGGGGTTTACTTCACCCTAAATTGAATTGGTGTTTTTAAAAACCCAGGGCTTCAATTTAGGGAGAATTAAACCAAAGTAGACCACCATGGTTTGTACAAATGGCCATTGGTGCTAACTCCCATGGTGGAAGAGCTGATGCATCTCTAGGGCTGGCATCCAGTTTAACACTGTTGCCGCTCACCCCACCACTGGACCTTGTTTATCCAGTCTGTGAGCAGCCCTGCAATCCAGATCCCACCTGTGGGACCAACTGAGTATGACACCCCTGTTTTAATCTGCATTAAGAAAGTAAAAAAAATAGCCATGTAAAGCTTTATCCAAAGCTTTCTGAAAGCCTAGATACATTAAAACTTTTTGTTCCCTTTCTATCTAGATGGGTAGGTATTACATTTAGATTAACCTAACTTGAAAAAAACGTCATAATTCATAACTTTTAAGTAAGTAACATGGGTCTCCAAAACACACAAAGCTCTTCGTTTTGTACTCATTCATTATTAGTGCCGTGCAACCAACATCACACATTTTAATTTCTTTTAAGGTATATGGTATGAGCCAACATCTCAAAGCAAGTTTTCTTTCTGGAATCTGCAAATTATTCCTTTTTTGCTGTAGATAAAAAGCAGCCTATATTCTTTGATTTAGAACTTTTCTGTGCTTAGGTACCTGTCAGAAGGATAAAAGACATATTGGAATCATGCATCAAAGCATGTTAAGTGCACAACTGCATGATAAAGAGCAGACCGCTACAATTCAGCTGTGCAGAAGTCTAATGAGCACTCCTGGTATGGGAAGCTCCATCTGTTGTACCAAACCTACAATGACTCTAAGTTACTCTTCCACCATAAAATGATTTTACATCTGCTTTACTTAAAGAAGAGTATAAATCAGAAACCATGATTATAAATTTTGATGACACCTTTGGAGGAGATATATATAGTATACACATTCTATGTATTGAAGGCATGCAAGAGATATATTGCCAAAGTTAAAGTAAATCAGTATTTCCTGGCTGACATATATATCATCTGTTTATGACTGTTACTGAGATGTGAAAATTGACCCACTTCTATGAAGGCACAGTTTTTTTTCCAGACAGTAACAGGTCCAGTACACTATAATGACATCACATTTTTACTGGGCTGCATGATGTCTAAATGCCAACTTAAAATTTTGTTCTCTGAGAACAAATTATTGAGAATAAGTATGGGAATGCCACCCAACCATGTATAGGACCCAGTTAAAAAAAAAAAAGTAGAACAGCCTGCCATTTAGAAATACTGCAGTAGTGGTATGAGGGGAAAAGAAAGTGGGACATAAAGACTCCAGGGACAAAAAACAAAGCTTATAAGGAAGATTTCCACTAAAAATGGAAAGAAGAGCTTCTTTCTTATAGCAGGAAAATAACAACAATGCTAAAAAGTACTGCCAAAAAAAAAAACCTCACACAGTAATATAGGTATCACATTTTTAAATGAGAGTGAATAACTATTTCAAATTGCTTAGGTACTTTGAGTAAAAAAGAATAAGACTCATAGGATATTATGTTTATTAGTAAACCACACTTCAGTACAGGAGTTAATTACAAAAGTATGAAACATGAGAAACATAAGAAACATAAAAGTAAGAAACATATAAATCTGTCCCCATTCCTGAATGATAATCCATTTATTACATAGCCTCTGAACCTCCTCTCACTCTTATGAAGGTCATCTTGATATGTTCAATGCTCTCAACCTCCTCCCAGACCTGGTTTGTGGGGAGGTAAGGTTTGGGATATGTGTGAGATGTCATTAAGAATCACCCTACTGTGACATATCTAAGCTACAGACCGGTACGGCTTTGGGTTTTTTTTCCCCCTTCTTTACTCAGCAGAAAGTGTTGAACCAGCAGCTCCCGGACCATCTCAGTGCAAACCACAAGGAGGAATTGTGGAAGGAAACAGAGACAGGAGCTTTCAAATGCTATCTTAATTCCATGGAGCGTACTATGTAGCTATATGCACAGATTTTGTCAAACCACCAGCCAGCTAGAAAAGAGAAGAGTGTGTATGTGCATGTGTATGTGCGTGTGCATGAGTGAGTGGGGAAGAAATAGGGGGGAAATTGCCTGAAATACTATTTTGTCCATGCTACATTTTTCCCCTCATTACTGTATGTGTTAATTCAAATTATTTTATTAGGCACGACCTGTTTCTATGAATGCTTCATTTGTAACAATTTCCTGAAAAATTTCTGCGTTTCAGAGGTTTGGGACAGGTTGCTCATAATGTCTCAATGAGATTCCACCTCAAGCCTATCTTGTGACAGTGTAAAAACTAACGATAGTGTGCACACCTAGCACAGACAGCTCCTCTGGAAAAGATAATATACCAATAGCCATGGAAAACATTTACTTCTACTACAGCAAAAGATAAGGGGTCCAGCTTTTGTGCAACAGTGTAAGGGCAGTGGGGGCAGCAAAGAAAGAAAATTCCTAGATGACCTAGTTCGTCCACCCTTCCTCTTGTCTTACCAGTAATTTAAAAGGTGAAATTCACAACTTCCTGCTAAACAAAAGCAACAAAAAGTGAATTTGTTCAGGTAATGAAGGAGAAGAGGTCAGTTGAGTGTGTGAAATATTACTTTGTTTTCCTCATCTCCCATGTTCTCTGGCTGCTGGTCAAACTTATGCTGTTACTTCAGCATGTTCCCTAGCAAAGAGATTGGCTTTTGAATTTGCATAAGCAGAATTTCATATCCACTTCAGTGACCCATACCTCCCCAGCTTGTTAAGCACTGGCAGGGAGACTTTTACTAAAGTATACAGAAGGGAGAGATGTTACCACTTTAGATGAGGCATGGCAATGTAACCTTAAGAGCACTTTAAAAAGATCATGGCTGGGCGCCTTATGATCTTGATTTTGCAGGGTGTATTGTGCAGACAGATGTTACACAAGTTTTTCCCATCCCCTTTCACCAAAATAGATGGCAGAAAAGGGCCTCAGAAACACAGCTAGTAATTAAACTTCTGAGGCAGCTTGTAAAACTCTTATGTCCAGGTGAGAAGGCTATGCAACCTCAGGTCTACCAGATCATGGGGAGGGAATGCCATCTCCCAAAACTTGGACAGGCAGATATGGCCCTCTCTTTCCCTGTTTTCCCTATTATTGTACTTGTCCAGGATGAGCAAAGTCTGGCCCACAGCAGACTCCATTTCTCAGCAACCCCTGCCCAAATCACTGTGGCCTGTTTCCATGGAGACCCCAGAAGTGGTGGGACTGTGACAGTGTGGGACCAGGATTTCCATGGGGACTAGCCCCAGCAGTGCTGGCAGGATGCACGGCTAGGAGGTAAGGTGCTCCGGGGTCAGGATCCTGTAGCGTGACAGCATGGTCCAGAGCCAGGGTAGAGCTGTAATCCAGTGGCCACATGCCCCATGCAGAGGCATGCAGGCAGCAGACCACGGCTTTGCCCTGACTCCAGACCACACTGGCATTGCCACAAGATCCCAGCATTGGCTCCAGAGCTCCCCACCCAGTCATGCACCCTGCCAGTGCTGCTGGGGCTCGTCTCCATGGAAACCCTGGCCCCACACTGTCATGGACCTGCTGTTTCTGGGGTCTCCATGGAAACTGACTGCAGCAACATGGACAGGGGCTGCTGGGAAATGGAGTCTGGCTACAGGACAGATCTGCCATTTTGCCCACCCCTGTACTAGACCCTTATATGTTCCCTAGCATGACCATTTAGTTTCCATAACCCTGACCACAGGGATACCTTTCCCCAGG